CGTTATAAACTGCCTTATTGCCGAATTGTCTCTGGCTGCTAGTCGAGCGCCGCTCTGTCAGCGGCTTGCGCCAGATACTCGGCCAATAACTCACTTACATTTGCTCGTGGAATCAGAAGAAGTGGAGCCGGCAGACGCGCTTTTGTCGCCGGAGAAAGCTCGTGCTTACAGATAACAAGTCGGCTGGCAGATCTTCGAAAAGGAACACGAGTGGCTTGCACTGGTCGATCGGGGCGAGACCCCTCTCGCTCTCCTCGTCGGCATTCTAATTTTGCGCCAGGCTCGGCCCGCGCCGTTGGAACGCTCCCCCGATCGGACTGTCGCGATATGCGCATTAGCTGCGTTACATTAGATTTGCTCGCCTACGCAGCCAACTGTCGCCGGCCTAATTAAGGGGGCCGATCTCCCCCTGCCCCCGTCAGCGTGACAGATGGCGCCCTTCGGGCTATGCGCGCCTCCTATACAGATAATACCTTTTCCGCGGCCTTGTTACGCTCTCGCCGCGACAAAAGGGGGAGACGTTCTCTCAAATTCGCGAAAACAAGCCGCAGCTGTACAGCTCCGTCGAATTGCTTCTCGGGCGCTTCTCCCGTGTATTTCGTCCGTTTTTACGCCTCTCTATCGGGCTGACGAGATCGACGATCGCGGCAAAGCCTAAGCAACGTTGCTCGCGATTCTCGGGCCTCCCTTCCACGGACTCGATATCTGATACCGCCAGACAATGAGACGTCGCCGCCGCTGCCGAAAGCCTGCCTCGCCTTGGCCCGGCGACTTATCGAGATTAGAGTCCGCGCGCCGACAGAAGTCATTGACTTCGCACTCGAGATGCGGCTGGCAAGTGCGCGCAGGGGCAAGCTCGAGCGTCCCGAACTCGTTCCGAACTCGTTCCGCCACCCGCCGCCCGTCGCGCACATACCTGATTAAGATAGCCGGCGCAGCAACAAAGCTCGCGCTCCCTCACTCACGTTGTCTCTCGATGTCCGACTGCACTGGCGGACTTTTGCGGCTTTACGGCCTGCAAAACACGTATATGTATCGCCCAGTAACAATCCCGTGCCGATCGAGAGTGCTCCGATCAGCCATGTAATATACATCGCTTAATGTGCATCGTTCAGTTGAAAGCTCATCTGTCAACGTCTATTTGGATGTATGGATTGCCGAGTGACGTATGTTGCACTGTACTTATCAACAAATTGATAAACAACTCGTGATCGAATAATGGATCTGAACTTTTTACGTATATATTTTATTTATATTTATTTAATTGCAGGTAATAATAGATTGCTGTAAAAGTAACTGCTCTACGCATGTAGTCAATAGAAAATAGAAAAATATTCTGAATTTAATTTTCATTTAATTTTCATCATGATTGGTTTTTCCCGTTGGTGGTTCGTTGCCTGATTAATACGAGTGCCGACTGTCAATATTTGTCAACGCGGACCAACTACGGGTAAACTGCTGCTTTAATTTTTGATTAATTTAGTGACAACTAGCTCCAGCTAGGGTATTCCTAAGCAGCCCCTCTTTCTTTCGTCTACATATCAAAGACAGCGAATACAGTAAGGAAAAGAGTGCTTTTTAAATTTAATCGACGCGTGATACCCGCAGCCAATTCTATCGGAAACGTGACTATTTTTTTCAAACGTTCAGGCGGCGCACTCACCAAATTATTAAATTTTTTGATTTCATTATTCTTGGGAGTGTTGACTATCGGCAAATAATTTAGCTTTTTACCGCGCATGTTTTTGACACCCATTTCTTGCTCGCAGTAGAAAAGAAACTGTTACTTTGATGCGATTCTCATAGTTCTTTAGAATCTAATAGAAAACGGCAGAACACAGCGTCAGCCTGACTTGAAATTGGAATGTCAAAGGTGGAAATCTGTGAAAAAGCACATCTTGGTTGATTTTCTGCTGAAATGATGGAGCCTCGCAAAGCTTTGCAAAGGCCAATCCGCGGGATCTGTTAACTATGACAATAACTCAAATGCAAATGTCGAGCATAGTCTCGTTGGCTATAGTCGTAACTGGTCCCAGCTACCTTGAATGGAGCGCAAGTAATTATTAATTGCCAAAGGGCCAAATAGAATTATTTAAGATAGCATCTGGAATATGTAGCGAACGAATGAAAATTGCGTATAGTAATCGAGAGAAAAAACGACACGTTGATAGCAAGCGCTTATAGGAGCGTCAGTGAGCACTATTGCTACTGTTTTCTCTCGACATATACGCGTGGCCGTTTCACATATTACTCGGCTATGACATATATTATTTCAAATTGGCTGAAATGACGCAGCGAATCGGTTTATTGATGCAACAGTGAATAAATTGATGTTCAGAACGCAATTATTATGATTACGCAGAATGGATCAGCTGGCAGAATGAAAGAGAAGGCCAGTGCAACGTTATTATTCGATAGATGTTTGGCGATTGACGCCGAGCAGGAACAAAGCTATGGGTTTTTCGTAATGATTAGGATGATTGCGAATATCGAGCGGAAAGCAGCGCGAAGCATTGGAAAACAGTAAGTAGAGTAATGGCTGGTGGGGCGTAAAAAAGGCAAGGCAGCGCGTGCACGAAGCGATCCTCGTTAACGAGCCGCTTCTCCAGAAACCGGAAATCCAGGCGACTCGCGTGAAAGCGAGAAGGAAAGGGCGGCGCGGACAATTAGCGCTCGTTATATCGCAACCAACGCAACGATCCGCGTCAATTTTCAGCGCTTCCACGTATAGCTGGCGCAGGGTGCTTCGGCGAAAGGATAAAAGCGTGAAAAGTGGCTAACCGCGCCAATAATGCCCGGACAATTACCACGGATTGGCGCGCGTATGGAGCTAAGTCCTGTTAATGCCGCGCGATTCATTAGCATTCGCTTATGTGCTCGCGCTGCCGGCGATCGGCTTGAAAAAATACCTCTCTCCTGCCAGGGGGCTTTCCCGTTCCGTTGGCCGCGCTAGTCTGCCGCCGCCGCCGCCGCGGATAGCCCCGCAAAGTCGCAGTCTTGCCGCACGCGCCAACTTATGAATTATGCATGCCAGACGACTCGTTGACTAGCCCAAGCGCCGATCTTGTCAGACGAGAAGCCTTATATACACGCCTCACTCTCATTTCCAGCTTGTTTCAACAGCCCCTGTGCACGCGCTTGCAAGCACTCCGACCTACTGTCACTCAATATCACCTATTCATCATCCCTCCGTTTCATTTTTCCGCCATAGTGCTTTTCATTTTGATTTCTCGGATTTCCACTCAGTTTCATTGCTCCCTAATGGCCTCTAGCGATCCATCGCTATGAAAAATGCGCGACTTTTCACAAACGGAACACTTTATTTCTTATTTTTATCGAGTTCGGCAAATCGATCGACGTTTTATGCACGATCACTTCTGGTCCAAGCCCTTTGCAATAATTTGTCGCCATTTATTACGCCATTTTATTTGGTTCCTTCAAAAATGGGATTTTTCGCCGCAAACCCACCGCGCACAAAAGGAAATTCCAAGCTTACAAGAAATACATTTCAAAACATCACGGGTATATAACTGTAGATTGTCCAGATAATATCTAAATTGAAGCGGAGCTCCACTCTCGACAATCCTGTCATTGATAAGTTTAGGGTAAGAACAGCTGAGTCACAAACGGCAATTCCAGAGCTGGCTATGGCTTGTCATCAACTGGGCGTGTATACGTACATTTTTATTACTGAATCGTCACAGTTCGTTGTAATTGCGACAGAAATCTAATGTTATATTTGGGCTTACAACGCCTAACCATTGATAATGTTATGTACGTAAATAGTGCAAATTAAAACGCTAATACGAATACATCTTAAGTCCGTAGATTTTACATAGAATCATCAATTTAGAAGATATTTTTATGTTTCCAGAAAAACTTTATTGAAATCTTTCAATCGGTTGTCTGTCAAAAAACTCTGAGGTACAAGAATTGAGGGTTGCGACAAGATTGTGATTTTTCGATCGGATTGGCATCCAGCTTGTGCAAAGTTATTCTTCGTAGCTGCTGTCGGCATCGAAACATAATTTCGATCGTCTTTGCGCTGTGAAACGGGATTATCGTGCTTGGGTTCGTTTGGAGAGAAAGCGAATGAAAGACAGAGAGAGAGAGAGAGAGAGAAAAAGCAGCAGCAGAGCACTCAGTTGCAATCCGTTTATCGTAATACTGATCGCGATAAAGCGAAATCGCGTCGCGTCCTCGGCGATTGACTGGCTCTACTGCTGTTGGTACTGGCGCCCGTCGGGGTAGTTTTCCTGTCCCGAACGCGCATACACGTGCAGAGCGAGCCCCGCGCGAACTTCGGAAATGGCCCATAAAATAGCCAACGACTCGCAAATCCTACCCCAGCCTGCGCACTCTCTCTCTCTCTCTCGTTCACTTTATCTATCTATTTTCGAATGTTACTTCTTTTCACTCCCCTTCTTTCCCTCTACACACACACACACATGCACGTACAAATGTGTACGTATAAATATACATGTTATTATTATGTTATTATTTTATTTTAGTTATTGTTACTTCAAGAATTAGATTTGTTAGAAAGGTAGACTAGGTATCAGTAGGCATTAGGCTAGGTTCCCTATAATCATGAGAGACATGCTACCAACCATCTCCATTTGGAAGTCTGTCGGAGGGGAATTTTTATATACATCGTGACTGCACCTATGCAGTCGACAGTGCAATCCGAATCAACAAATGTACATGTGGAATTTTCATTAAATTCATTCAACTAGCCGCTGACACTCGCGATTGACATAGATGTTTTTCAGTCACTGTACCTATCTACGAATTATTGCGAAGCCGAGTTTTGCAGGAAATATCCTCTCGAATAAATTTTCATCGCGATTGAATGCCTTGGTACATATTATCGACGATTCGATATGAACTCGTAATATTTGATTTAAAACTGTGCCCGATGGAGAGTGGAAATGATCGCGAAGGAAAAATCGCCGTTCGGAAGAATAACAAATGACGAGGTAGGCTGGCGAGGTACTTGCCAGTGGTGAAGGCTGCCACGGCAGCGACGTTGCCGGCGGCGGCTATTATCGAGACGAGCCACGTGCCAGTGAAGATAGCCATGAAGCTGGCTGTCAGTTTGGTGCCGGTCCGCGCGGGCCGCGGCGCGCTACACGTGGGCAGCGCCGGCTCCGGCATGGGCTTCTCACCGAGCCCTCGGATGAGATTGCGATTGTGGTCGAGGCGACGCCGATGCATGGCTGCAAATCCGTCCCGACCTAGGCCCGACTAGGCATCTCCCTCACGCTGGCGCAACGGACAGACCGACAACTACTGGCACGCGCGCACTTCTTGGCAGACTGTCCCGCTACTCGTGTGTCATGCGAGCAAACAGTTCACTCGAGCACTGCGAGGGTCGTGGACGCCCAGCGACGGGTACTCGCCATCGAATTAGCCGAGTAGCGACGCATTCCAGCCGACGCGCGCGTCCACATGTTTCATCGGTACAGCGAGTATGGGCGAGCAACGCGGCGGCCGCGTTGGGGCTGAGAGCGACGCGCGTGTGCACGCAATTCGTTCGCGGACGCGGCCAAGCGTCGACTGGAGATAGAGTCGAGAGTAGCGGCGATCGCGAGTCGCGACGGCTCGCTCGACTGGTGGTCGCGCCTGCGCCCTCGCGCCGCGGTCCGCCAGCCGGCGTCCCGGTCGGCGCCAATCGTCGCGGCCGCGAGGGTGACGCCCCCGAGTCGCGGGGGCGGCGCCTCCGGATTAAGACTTTCGACTTGCGCCGCCGCCGCCGCCGCCGCGCGAGCGCTGCCCGCTGCCGCCGACGCGGCTTTCTTACGTCCGCGAAGGCGAAACGGGAGGCGGCCACGGCCGGCTAATTTCAATCTGGAGTCGGCGCCACGGAGAGGAGACAATTTGGAGGGCTGTTTGGCCAAGGGTCGCTCTCTCCCTCTCTCTCTCTCTCTCTGCTCGTGGTCGCAGCCGCCGCCCGCGCGCGCCGATTGATTCCGCGGATGGGCCGCCGCCCGAGGCCAAGCCACGGCCCGAAGCTCTCTTCCCGAGTTTATCGGCTCGTAAGCCCTTGGTCGTTGTTGACGTTTTTCGCCGCCGCCGCGCCCTCCCCACCGCTCTTCGGATGCTGCTTACTTCTTTTCACAGATTTTCCTTTCTTCCTCGCATTTTCTCACTGCTGCCTGCGTGCACTCTTTCATCAATTACTCATATTTCTAACTTATAGCATGAATACAGTAATCAATTCGAACTTACTCACAAAAATTAATGCCGTCGCATGAAACAGAATGTCTAATGGACTTACAAGTAATGGCGTTATTTCAGCAAAAATTTCAATTACGTGACCGAGTAATTTCACTGAATGACGACCAAATCGCAGTCACCATTTACAACATGTAACATACACTACGTACCTAAAGAGAGACTTTTAGTCTCTTAGAGATCTTTAGTATTGGTATAATTTGAATTTTCGATATTTTAAAAGCAACGTATTACTTTTGGCTGTAACATCATTACAATGAGAAATTCATGTGTTAGTAATGCTGTCATTTTTTTGTACGAATTACAATTAAATTGATACTTAAAATCGAACACGAAAATTGCTCAACCGAGAATGTGCACTCAATTTGAAAATTTAGCAAATTCTTGCCGAATTAATGTTATCTTTTGTATAATTAACCATACAACGGTTTTATATTTTAATTTTTCATCAAGCTTAGTTTGTAGTAGGATATTATCAAATTTATCAATCCTATTAAAATATAAATAATTGACCCTCTTTATGAAAGTCGACCAAATATTATATTAATCTGGTTAGTAGCAGCATGAAATTATCAAATTTTAGTATATAATGATTTTATGAATAATTATCGAATACTTCTAGATATAATTCTTCATTATAAAATTTTACTTAATTGAAAAGGTGATTAGATATAGCATAAGTAGACTTAATGATCTGTTTCAGACCTACTAAATAATAGAAAGCAATATGTTGAAGTTTACAACCATAAAAGTAATTCAGCTAGGTTCATACACTATTATTTATAATATATATCAATGATTTGTTCAACATTTTTCAATATCGCCTTAGGCTAAAGATACTATAATTATTAATATTGTAATCATTGGTTAAATGCATTGAATTAAATTAAAATATTGTTAAGACTTAATCGCTGGATGCTTGACATTCTTAAAATATTCGACGTTACTGTTGGTTCTTATAATGACAGCGTTGAAAACGAAATAAACGTCCACAACAAGCAACAATCTCTAACTAGAGTGCTTTAGAGTTGTAATTGATTTTTGAATCAGGCGAGTATATAGTGTAAATTATGTTGACGAAAAATATGTGTCTATGTAATATCAAAACTGAGTAAAATACTGAATATAAAAACTTTGATCAGAATTTACAGTGTCTTTATGCAAAGTACAGTCACTCACGGCATCATTACCTGGGAAGAAGCTTATAGTAATACTATCAGCGATATGCAAAAAAATACAGAATCAAGTAGTTAAAAATTTATTCGAAAATGTAATAATCTATTATTTTGACTTTTTATTAAAAAATATTTTCGCTGGAATCTGTAGAGGAACACCGTAGCATATTATCTACAGAATTTATCATTTCGAAAAGTATAACTAGACACAAAATAGTTATCCCAGATTGTTAACAAAGTTTTGCCGTTGAAATTTTGAGTTGGAAATAAAAAATTTAAACATGAAAGAGACTAGCAAACTGTTATTGATATCAATCAACCAGATTTAATAGATCATAAGATAATATAGAGTTATTTAATTACTTTATACACTTTGGTTATTAAGTTTTTATTGTATTTGTTACTGTTGGTGCTTTGTTTTTGCATATTATTTTGTGTACAGTTAGCTCTGGTTTACCTCAGCAAAAATGTGCTGTAAAATGTTGTATTGTATTTTATTGATAATAAATTGAATATGTCGCTTTGAATATTGGATATAAATATATTCTATTTCAGAATCAATTGCTGTCGTTATAATATATCCCTTCAATTAATTGACTTGATGTTATAAAAGAGTACAGATTATTTGAATACGTTCCAAATATATTTGAATAAGAAAAGGTCACATTGCTTATTTCTGGATTTAAGCAAAGAGACAATAAAAACGAAATATTAATTGAATGAACTTCCGAGAAGAAGATTATACGAGATAAGCTTCAATAATGGAGGCAAATTGTGGAAATAAGCGCGACATTGATTTAGCTGATGTAAATTTGAACCTTCGGATTTGACGGGTTTCCTGTCTGTCTGCTGGAGTAGATAGAGCCAAGCCGAAGCATGGCAAAGCCGGTAACTCGAATGCTTCTCATATGCATCTCCAAAATTTTGCTTATGTGTATCGAAAATCACAACATGTAGCTGTCCGAATTAAGAGCAACTACATTGAGCGAAAACAATGAGCATTAAAAAATTGACTTATCTGCAGACTCACTGGCAGAAAATTGAAAAGGGTTTGCAAACTAAAGTTTGAATAAATAAAAACGTCTGAAAGTTTATTTTTCAAGACAAAATCAGCGATACATATTTGGACTACGAATTTTCAAAATGAATCAAGGACATATAGTTACGGAACATGCTGCAGCTTACTTATGCATATCAATTGAAAGATTATAGGAATGGAAGATAATTTTACTTTCGACAAATCTGAGAACAAATTGGTTGACGAGCAGGATTCGACTGTGAAAAGGTAAAAAAAGAAAATGCCGAGTTTGCAACGGAAATACTGTGAGATTAGATAAGATGGGTAAGGCAAGCGAGATTTTGCGATTGCGGCGCTCGTTGGACAGAGATACAAGGTTGGAAGTAGAGCGAGTAGCAGCTGGAGGGTTAAAGGCAGTACGGAGGCAGGCAGCACAGATCGGCCGCTGAAGATGGCCGCGCGAAAGTTGAAGGAACAAACAGCGAGCGTCTGGGTGGCGGTGGTTGCGCGTGATTGCGGCTGGGCGCCTCCGGTAGTGGCAGCGAGCAGCAGCAGCAGCAGCAGCGCAGCAGCAGCAGCAGCAGCAGTTGTCTAAGGACTTGTATGAAGCCACCTGCGGCCCGCGAGAGATTGACGCTTGGCTTATCGCCGGGGGAATTTCGCTCGGTTCCAATTAAGCCATGACGCTATCTGCCCTCGTTACCCTCGGCGCACTTGCTCGCTCAGTCTGCCGCCGCCGAGCCGATGAAGATTGTCGGCGAAAGTGATGCGGCCCTTGCCGCCGCCGATAAGCACTCGCGAGGACTTATTTTTACGAGGGGCGAGTTGGCTGTTGGCGAGCATCGATGACGAGCGCGGTCGCGCTCGCACGCGCGCAGCCTAATAGCTCGCCCGAAAGTTCGCCGAGTCATGCAAGAACTGATAGGGCAGCTTTCTCTCCGTGCGGCGGCTGCCGTTACTCACGCCCGAGCCTTTATCTCTTAGCCAGCGAAGCGCCGCTTGTTTTCCGGCTCTTTGTTTATGCCGCTATTACCGCGATTCCGATCTCGCTAAAAACTTGGCCAAATTACGAGCTTGCGAGGATCCCATGCCCCGAGCGCCTGCGACTCTATCTCCGACGAATCGCCGACTGCGAGTTCGCGGGCACAGGCAGCCACTTTCGATCGATTTGCCGAACAACCGATGGCCGCGCGCGTCAAGCAAGAGCGCTATCAGCTCGGAAGCAGGCGGCCGCCGCTGAAGCGTGCGCGCAAAACTCGGCGAGCTCCGCGAGTCCGAGCGCGCAGTCAATTGACGAGTCAATGCGCGATTGACGCGATACACACAGCGATCCATTTATATTCCGCCTGCAGATCTGACTGTGTATGGGCGGCTGCTGCCTTCCGATCAAGGCAGAAAAAGGAAAAGTACAGATAAAACGAGCACAGGACCAGATAGGCGGCCGAGGGGGACTATTCAAACGATGAGACAATCGAAATGTAATTGCGCCGTCCCAATCCCATTCAATACCAATTCATTTTGCGGTCGCTTCGTCCTCCCATTGTGTCGAGAGGACGGCGCCACCGCCGTTTCCTTATGCTTCTCCACTTTGTATATATCTGCGCGCGGAGCTTTTGCCGCTGCGACTCGCTTATATCGCTGAAACTTCTTTGCGACGAGCGCGGAAATTACGCGCGACTTGTTGGCGGGCACAAAGGCGCTTATAAAATTTACATTAGCAACCCCGTGCCCTTGCCCGGGCCCGTTCCCGTTCCCGTTCCCGTTCCCGTTCCCGTGCCCACACCGGCGATGACTTTATCTTCATTTTCTTCTTCCGGCGCAGCATTCAAAGGTGTTTGCGCTTCTTAACTATTTCACAACGCTTTCAACGCTCATTCCTTTGCTTTCATCGCTCGCTAAACTCGTTTTTCACTTTACACTTGTCAACAATGGATCTTGATAGAGTCTATAAGTGCTTCGCCGGATTGACTATTTTTTTTTCGTTTAACATCGCGTGCAGTACAAAAAGAATTCTTTTTTCCGAAAGAAAGCTTTTATCGGTAATTCAAAATCGCGCTATTCGGAGATAACTTGATCCTCGAGAACGGCAATATGGCTATTAACGCGTAGGCCAA